CCACACACACGCTCCGCACCGCATCAGGCCAGAAATAGTCGGGTAGCCCGGCTTCAATGAGCAACCCGCATGCCGCCTCCGTGATTGTGCGGTTCGCTCGCTCGGCGATGCCGTTCATTGCAGGGGAGTATGGCATGGTGAGGGAGTGCCGAATACCATTCTTCTTCAGCCACAACCCAAACTCCTTGCTCAGGAACTCTCCCCCTCGATCGGTGCGGATTGACTTGACTAGACGGTCTTGTTGCCGCTCCACCATCGGGAACCGATCCGCCTTCAACGTTTCAGCCACGTCGCTCTTCTTGGCCAGCACATACACCCAAGTCATGCGGGTGTAGACGTTGACAATGGTGAGAAAATACTCAGCTCCAGCAGCTCCAAGCTTCAGGGGGCCCACCACGTCCATCACCACCTCATCAAGCGGTGCCTTTGCCGTTGCCTCCGAACTAGGGAACGGAAACCGGGTGAACTTGGCTTGAATGCACGTCGGGCAACCAAGCACCTCATCGGGCTCCCCCTTCACACGTATGCCAGCAACCATCTCATTCTTCACTAGCTGCTGCAAGATAGGCAGGGCCACATGCCCCATGCGCCGATGCAAGGTGAGCCAATCACACTCCCCCGTAGCCGAAGTTGGATTGGAGAATGCCGCGCTCGCAATAGCGCCCCACATACTCTCTTCGTAGGCCTCCTCCGCTGCTGCCTCGGGGTTCTCCTCACCCTTTTGCTGCTCCTTGGTTGCTGCACCACTCTCCTTAGGTTCACTGAACTTGCTGGTCCCTCCAGGTTTGCTCTTCTTGAGCCCATTCTCCTTAGCGCGACCGTTCGCGCCATCGTCGCTACCGACCGCTCCATCCTTGGTGCTGATGCTTGCTGCCACTTGCCTCTCCTTAGGCATAGGGACCACTGGGATCTGCCACATCTCGTTGTAGACATCCTTGTCCTCATGAAGGTCCCAAAGAATTCGATCACCAAGCCTTGCGGTGTAGGTCTTGGCTCCCTTCGAGTTAGTGTCCATGCCGGCCTTTGCCAACCGCCGCACGGAAATCAGGTTTGCAGCAAGGCTGGGCACCCAAAGCACGTTCTTGAGGCCCACCATCTTCCCATCACCACCCTTGAACATGGCCTTCCCCATGCCTTTCACCCCTGCTCGCTGCCCCAAAGCCGATGTGACATGCTTCACCGGTGACGGCTCGAGTTCGGTGAGCAAGTCCGGGCGAGGTGTCATGCTATAGGTAGCGCCACTATCAATCACCCAATAGTCCAGGGGGTGTAGGGTCACCTTCCCCACAGCTGCTGGCTCCTCAAAGCCTTCATCCTTCTCTGGACCAGCCGGTACTTGCGTCGACACGAAGTAGAATAGACCCGGGTATCGATCGTCGCTCGGGTCCTTGTCGTTGTCTCCGTTCTTCATGTTTGCAGCTCCGCCACCGCGACCGCCACGGCCTCCACGGCCTCGTCCTCTCCCTCCTCCTGCTCCTCTACCCTCTTGGCCTTGAGCAGGGGTCCAACCATCAGGGAGTTTGTAGCAGTCGCGCCACATGTGTCCGCTCTTGTGGCAATAGTGACACTCGCCGTCGAATCGGCCGCGACCGCGTCCGTAGCTCTTGTCGTCGCTGCCGTAACCGCCACTCCCGCGGCCTCCGCCGAAGTTGCTGCCACCAAACCTTCCTCCCCCTCGTCCTCTGCCTCTTCCTCGACCATATCCACGGCCAATGCTCGCTGCCCCAGTGCCATCCGCACTCGCCAACTCACGGCGGCGGAAATCCTCTTGAAGGATAGCCCGCTTCACGTCTTTGAGCGAGAGGCGGGGCAAGTCGCGATTCAGGTTGATGATGAGCGAGGACCATGATTCGGGGAGTAGGGCCAGCAACTTGGTCTTCTTTTGGAGCTCACTATAGTTCAAATCCGCTCCCTCAAGCCGCGTCAACAAGTCGAAGAATTTCTGCACCCCTTCTTCAACCGCTTCATCCTCTTCAATTCGTAACGTCGCCATTTGCCGTTCCAACACCACAGCTACCGCCGCTGTCGCAGGAGCGTGTACACCCTTGAGAGCAGCCCATGCGTTTGGTCCCTTCTCTGGTTCAAGCTGGAAAGGCTTGATGTGACGGATTTGGCTGCTCTCCAACGCTTGCCCAAGTAGGAGGTAGCCTTGTGCGCTCTTCCGCACCCACGGGCTCTTCTCCGGGTCGTTCTCGGGACGCTTCTCCGTTCCTTCCATCACCTCCAGCAGGTCATAGTGGTCAAATATGTTTTCCATTCTGAAGGACCACTCAGCAAAGTTGTCACCATTGAACTTGTCAAGGCCAAACACTCTAGGCTCATCCCTAGATGGGCCAACACTTGGTTGCATGGGCGCCATGGTTGAGTCACGGGGTTGGCCTTGAGCTTGGGCTTCTCCTCTGCCACCAGCACCTCTGCCACCCCTTTCCTCATGTCCAGCCATTGTGGAAACTGCTCCAAGAGGCTCTGATACCACTTGTTATAGTCACAGTAGGCTCCAATGTGCCTAAAACGAAAGATAGAGTGCACAGTCGGATTTCTGCACAGCGGCTTCAAACGTTCATAGCGTTGCGGTCACAGCTTCAAATGACTTGATTCAACTTGGATCTGGAGCTGCTTATGGTCGCCTACAATACGCAATTTAGATCGCACGATTTGACCAAGTATTGACGACACAGCGTTGGTTTGAACGAACGGCACTATGGCAGCCACTATAGTCTTAGAACACAAGATGGGAAGAGTTAGGAAGAGTTACGAGTTGGGAATGACTCCCAGCTCCTACAAACCCCAAGAGCAGAGGTACAGTGATGTGGAACAGTGCCACACTGTCCCCAACCACGAAGGGTCTCGAAACTACCCTTCACTAGGGCCTACACCAAGTGAAATGTTACACTACACAAAGTAATGTAACTATCTTCAATATCTTGAGGTGTACCCTTTTGGCGAGCTTCGAAATCACTTGAGGCTTGACACCAAGGCTCGGGCTCTTCATTACAAACTCATCCTTGAGTTCTTGATGGGTCTGCTGCACAAACCTGCGACACACCGAACGTTCGACACAGGACAAAATAGAAACCGCGCACGACAAAATAGAAACCGCGCGCGAGACACAAACGACCGCGTAACACGCGTCTAGCGATAACTCGCTATTGACTCAACAAACACACTTGACATCATGACTCAACATTCACACACAATTATAAGCATGAAATATATATTATCCCATGCCCTCATACCATTCCATACACACACACATGCATGCACACGGACAACAAGCCGAGTGCAAACCATAGGGTTGCACCAACAGAAAATAGTAGAGAGGGTGAGGGAAAGCGCAGCAGAGGGTGGGTTGTAGTAGGGGATAGGTAAGCGGGGAAGGGGGTGAGGAAGACGAGGGACAGGGAGACGGGGGACAAGGAGAACGGGGAGAGAGAGAAGGGGGACAGAGAGGAGGGGGACAGAGAGGAGGGGGACAGAGAGAAGGTGGACAGAGAGAAGGGGGACAGAGGGAAGGGGGACAGAGAGAACGGGGGACAGAGAGAAGGGGAAGAGAGAGAAGGGGGACAGAGAGGAGGGGGACAGAGAGAATGGGGACAGAGAGAACGGGGGACAGAGAGACGGGGGACAGAGGGAGTACCACTCCCCACTCACTTGTACCCCTCCCCACTCACTTGTACCCCTCCTCACTCACTTGTACCCCTCCCCACTCACTTTTACCCTCCCTGCATGTCCAATATCTCCATCATCCCCGCTGTGATGTACGGCTCCAGGACCTGTGAGTGAGTGAGAGGGTGAGTGAGTGTGGAAATGATTGAGTGAGGAATAAATAGAGTGAGTGAGTGTAGAAGGGTACGAGTGATTGGGCTGCCAGGTGCATGGTGAGTGATTGAGTGTCAGTGTCTCTATCATCCCCGCTACCATATAAGGCTCCAGGACCTGTGAGTGAGTGAGGCAGGGGGAGAGGGAGGATACGAGTGAGTGGCCTGCCAGGCGTGTGTGAGTGATTGAGTGTCAGTATCTTTATCATCCCCGCAGCCATGTAAGGCTCCAAGACCTGTGAGTGATTGAGAGGGTGAGTGAGTGAGCGAGTGCGGAAGGGTACAAGTGATTGGGCTGCCAGGTGCGTGTGAGCTTGCGATTGTCCAATATCTCCATCATCCCCGCAGCCATGTAAGGCTCAAGGACCTGTGAGTGAGTGAGCAATTGAGTGAGAGTGTGAGTGAGTACATGAGTGTAAAAATGAGTGTGTGAGGGAGCAAATGGGTGCGTGAGTGAGTGGGGAAGGAGGCGAGAGTGATGGAGTGAGTTAAAAAGAGGGAGAGAGGGAGGGATGGAGGGAGGGAGGAGTGGTAGAGAGAGGGGTGGAAATGAGTGAGAGTGGGAGAGAATGAGGGAACGAGTGAGTGAGTGAGTGAGTGAGTGAGTGAGTGAGTGAGTGGGAGAGGGAGGGTAAACTAGGAAGCGATTTCTCCTCACAAAGCAACAACTGACCTCGCAAACGTCTTTCACAACAGACGCACCTAGGAATGGAAACAAGTGCACATTCTCACCTAGACAGCAACAGCTCACCTCGTAAACGTCTTTTATAACAGACGCACCCAGCAATGGTGCACAAGTGCGCGTTCTCACCTGGAAAGCAACAGCTCACCTTGTAAATGCCTTTTACAACAGACGCACCCAGCAGAGGTAACAAGTGCGCGTTCTCACCTAGAAAGCAATGGTTCACCGCGTGTGGTAACCTGCACATTCATAACTGTAGCCACTCCGTCTGTGCATACCTGTAGCCATTCCTGGACGGTCTTTGGGTTGAGGAGTCGGTACATCTGATAGGAGCAGAAGGCCAGGTTGTATGGGGGAGGTGCATCGATGTCAAACCCGTCCGGCCCCTCCTAATGCATCACCACTGCCTGCTTGTCTGTGGGAGAGAGGGGAGAGGGGAGGGGAGGAACCATCAGCACCCATTCGAACCCATCTCGCCTCTCAAGGGAGGTGCATTGATGTCAAACTCGTCTGGCCCCTCTTCGCACATCACCACTGCCTGCTCGTCTGTGGGAGGGTGGAGGAGGAAGAGCAATGTGACGGGAACAAGGAAAGGGGTGGGGATGCGATGTGTGAAGGCAAAGGAGAGGTGCATTGATGTCAAACTCGTCTGGCCCCTCTTCGTACATCACCACTGCCTGCTCGTCTACATGATAGGGGAGAGAGGGGAGGGAGGGATTCAAGGACAGGGGGATGAGAGGACAGGGGGATGAGAGGACAGGGGGATGAGAGGACAGGGGGATGAGAGGACAGGTGGATGAGAAGACACGGGGATGAGAAGACAGGGGAATGAAAAGACAGGGGGATGAAAAAACTGGGGGATGAGAGGACAGGGGGATGAGAGGACAGGGGGATGAGAGGACATGGGGATGAGAAGACATGGGGATGAGAAGACAAGGGGGACGAGAAGACAACGGGAGAGGATGAGAGGACAGGGGGATGCGAGAACAGGGGGATGAGAAGAAGGGAAGATGGGAGGGCGGGCTGATTAGAGGTAGGGAAGATGAGTGGTCTTGAGGAGGAAGAGAAAAAGGGTGGATGGGGGAGAGTGAAGGGGAAAGAGGGAGAAAGAGAGGGATGAACGAAGGAGGAAAGAGTGAGGCTGGGTACAAGTGGGAAGGTGAAAGGGCGAAACAGAAGAATAGGGTTGGAGTGAGGAAGGGAGTAGGAGAGTGGGTGATGGATAGGGTTCAGGGTGACTGGATCGAGGGATGATGAGGAGATGGAAGAATGGCAGGACGGGAGGACTGGAGGAAAGGAGGGAGGGTGGACGGATGGCAAAGAGGGGAAAGAGGGTAGCAAGGTCGAGAGTGTGGGAGAGATGGAGAAAGGGAGGAGAGAGAGCGTGAGGAGGCTGACTGTGGGGGAACGACGGAACGGATTAAGGGCGGAGGCCAAGAGGTGGGCGCAAGAGAGAGGAGGAGGTGGGCGCAAGAGAGAAGAGGAGGTTGGCGCAAGAGAGAGAGAGGGAGATAGGTTGGTGCAAAAGAGAGGAGGAGGTTGGTGAGATTGAGAGGAGGAGGCAGGGTGGGTGGGAGGCAGGGGGGGAGGGAGAATGAGAGAGAAAGAAAGCAGGCTGCATGGGTGGAGTGGATCCTACCATGGACCATGGTAGGAATAGAGAAGGTGGCAATGAGGAGAGCGAGAGCGACCTAATGAGGCAATGGGGAAGAGAAGCAAGGACAAACCGAATTCGTCAGGAAGGGATGAGAGGATGCACATCGTGGGTGTTGAAGCGATGGTGATGAAAGGGAAGGTGATAGGCAGGGGAGGTGTTGACGACGTGGAGAGAGGTGGGAGGAAAGGGAGGTCGGCTGGATGGGAAATTTCCTGGCGAATGGGAGGGCGATGGGAGGGGAAGCATGGGCAATAGTGGGGAGATAGCGTGGGCGACGGTGGGGGGAAGCGGCGTGGGCGACGGTGGGGGGAAGCGTGGGCAACGGTGGGGGGAAGCGTGGGCGATGGTGGGGGGAAGCGTGGGCGACGGTTGGAGGAAGCGTGGGCGACGGTGGGAGAATGCGTGGGCGACGGTGGGGGGAAGCGTGGGCGACGGTGGGGGGAAGCGTGGGCGACGGTGGGGGGAAGCGTGGGCGGCGGTGGGGGGAAGCGTGGGCGATGGTGGGAGGAAGCGTGGGCGACGGTTGGAGGTAGCGTGGGCGACGGTTGGAGGAAGCATGGGCGACGGTGGGAGGAAGCGTGGGCGACAGTGGGGGGTAGCGTGGGCGACGGTGTGGGGAAGCGTGGGCGACGGTGGGGGGAAGCGTGGGCGACGGTGGGAAGAAATGTGGGCGACGGTGGGGGGAAGCGTGGGCGATGGTGGGGGGAAGCGTGGGCGACGGTGGGAGGGAACGTGGGCGACCATCTCCAAAATGTTGACCACCTGGGGCTAACCCTTGGAAATTGGGAACCCCCAGGTGACTACTAGGTTCCCTGTTCCTCACCCGAAGGTGACTACGGGGTCAGGTGCGTGCATTTTTCACCCGAAGGTCACTTGAGGGTTATCGATTTTCAGGAAAATCACCCCCCCTGACCCCCAACTCCAACCTGACCAGCAGGACACCTTCCAAAAGCGCCGAACCGCGATCCAACAAACATTGACCAATCAGACACGTCCAAATTTATCGAGTCGCAGAAACGCAAACATTGACGAATCGGAGGTATGCGCCGCACCAGATCGCATCTTAGGCAAACATTGCCCAATCCGATGCCCAAAAAAAATATAATTCAAATTATTCGACAGAACAATGTACCAGAACAAGAAAACAAATCTGAAACGATTACACAAAAAATAACCCCAGTAAAAACATCTACCTATTTCAAATTATCATTAAATAAAAAAAATGAGCACAAACGTTTCGGGTTATATATAGAAACATTTACGAAATTCTTCAAGAAATAAGCGTCGTAATAATTACTCCAAATGGTTCTAATTTAGCTAAAGCGAATAATTTTATGAATCAAAATATCGTTTTTTTGTTTATATCACTGATATCAACATAGATGTTACTATGCTAACGAGTACTCCTTGAGAAGAAACGAGAATGATTGAACTATGAAACAATTGGGTACAAGTACTAACCCTAATTGGGTTGTACCCCTTATGGGCTACCCCACTACAGCCTACACAAATGTATAAGCTATAATGTTCTGACACACCCCCATAGGCAAAATGGGGGAGAACAAGGGGTCACAAGACCAGTCAAGCAAAGCAAAACAAAGCAAGCTCAGGGTGGATCACAAAGTCGCCACACATTCCGAGCACAAGTTCAAGGCCACAAGGCCAGTTGACATGCAGGAGTACATATATATAAAAGGCTAGACAAGCAAGAGCAGGTGCATATATATATATGTAACAGTACAAGTAAGGTCAAGAGGTGAGCAAGTGAGGAAAGACAGGCACAAGACCCAGCTGAGGGCAGAAGCGCTGATGATCACAAGGCGCAAGTGCCTTGGTGAAGACATCAGCAGTGTTGGCCTCAGAGGCCACGTACGCAAGCCGCAGCTGACCACGCTGCTGTAGCTCACGAGCAAGGAAGTAGCGGAGAGCAATGTGCTTTGTTCAGTGCTCCAGCCTCTGCTCTCGACACAAGGCCAGCATGGCCTTGTTGTCTACGTACAGAACTGGAGGAGAACGAGGCGGCTCTCCGAGGTCGGCCAGTAGGTAGGTGAGCCAGCGAAGCTCTTGTGCAGCCATGGCTCCTGCGTAGATCTCAGCCTCACAACTGGAGCCGAGAACAGAAGACGAGCGGGTAGCCCGTCACGAAACAGAGTCGGAACCAAGGCTGAAGGTGTAACCCTGTGACGACCGCTGCGTAGCCTGGTCGTCAGCCCAAGAAGCGTCTGCGTGCCCAGTGAAGACCACTGGACTCCGCCCTCCAAGCACAAGCCCCATGCCCGACGTGCTGCACAAGTAGCGCAACACCCTCTTCGCTGCAGCCATGTGCTCCGGTCAGTGTCTCCCAGGAGCAACATAGCGTGCGAGAATGCTAAGAGGGTATGCAAGGTCAGGTCGTGTGCAGGTCATCAGGTACAAGAGGCAGCCAACAAGCACTAGATACGGGCCACTCGACTCTAGAGACTCATCCGAAGGCAGAGCTGAGAGCGAGTGTCGAGTAGGCAGAGGAGTGGCCTGAGGCGAGGAGTACGTGAAGCCGAAGCGCTGAAGGACCTGCTGCACCATGTGTGACTGAGTCAGGGTAATGGTGCGGCGTGCTCTGTCCCGGGTGATCTGCAAGCCAAAGTAGCTGCGCAGTTCACCCAGGTCTGTGCACGTGTGTCTCTTCTGTAGCTCAGACTTCACGTGGGCGAGTCCAGCAGTGTCAGCTGTGGTAAAGACCAAGTCGTCGACGTACACGAGGATGTAGAACGGCGGCAAGGAAGTGTCGGTGCGCAGAAACAGTGACGGGTCGGCAGTAGAGGGAGCAAACCCAAGAGCCGCAAGTGTAGTCCTCAGTGTGTCGTGCCACTCACGTGGTGCCTGGCGGAGACCGTAGACTGGACGCCGGAGGCTCCACTGGGTACCAGGAGGAAAAGACCCAGTGAAGCTAGGTGGGCGACGCAGCCAGATCTCCTCGTGCAGGCTGCCCTGCAAGAAAGCTGTGCTGAAGTCAAGAGAGTGCAGCTCGTAGTCACGGTGAGCAGCTATGTGCAGCAGTACCCGAAGAGTGGTCATCTTCTAAGTGGGAGAGAAGGTCTGAAAGTAGTCAACTCCCTGCCGCTGACTGAAGCCACGAGCCACGTAACGCGCCTTGAAGACAGGCGGAGAACCCGGCGGCCGCTTCACCCTGAAAATCCACATGCCACTGACGATGTTTGCCCCAGGCGGGGGAACCTCGTCAACATAGGTGCCTGTGGACTTCCAAGAAGCCATCTTTGTGTCCATAGCTGCCTGCCACTGAGAGGAGTAGGGACCCTCTATCGCCTCCGCGTAAGAGCGCGGAGTCCGGATGTCAAGTGCATCCTGGTCTCCCTCAGGGGTAAGCAGTACGGACACGAGATGAGGTGAAGCAGCAGCCAGACACTGGAACTCCTCCTGCCTGTCCTCAAGGACGTCCGTGCCAAGGGCACACTCACCCCCGACGGACGGAGGACAGACAGACTCAGACTCAGCGACAAGACTAGCAGTGTAGTCTAGGCGACAGCGAGCAGCAAAGTCGAAGAGCTCAGCAACTAGGGAAGACACAGCAGTGGACTCGAAGCAAGGGCCAGTGACGACAGTAGCAAGGAGACGCGTGACACTAGGACTGGCAGCACGAAGAGAGTCCGACTCCGGGATGGGAAGAGCAGGAAGAGAGGACTCAGGAGGAGAAGGTAAAGGGGCACGCAGAGGAGCAGTGGACGGACGCAGAGACATCCAGTGCGTGCCAGGGACAGGAGGAGGACGCTGACGCGAACCATGACCACTAGTGCGATTAGGACGGACAGGCGACGCAGGGTGAGACGCAGGCTCACGACACTCAGCAAGACCTCCGGTAGGACTAGTGTAGGGAGAAGGAGCAGGTAGTGGGGAGGCCGACTTTAACTGTAACTGTGACAGGACAGGCTATGGACACTCTAAGGGAGGAGGAGGACCAGTAGAAGGTGGAAGACCAAGAACCTGCTGAAGGAGTGGAACGAAGTACGGCCGAGGCCGCGCGGCGACTCCAGACACAGCAGGGACAGCACCAGTACCCCCAGTGGTAGCACCAGCGCCAGCAGCACCTCCAGCTCCAGGACCCCTAGCAGCTCCAGTGGCTCCCGGACCTCCAGCAGCACCAGTAGCACCCCCAGCAGAACCACCAGCAGTAGCCTCAGCGCAAACACCCTCAGTAGCTCCTGCTCCAGTCGTACCCGCAGGCCCAACAGCTCCACTACTCCCAGTACGAGCACCTCCGGGACCTGCGACACCAGCACCCTCAGTAGCCGAAGAACCTCCAGCTCCAGCAGCACGCCTCCAGCGCCGGGCAAACCACTCGCGCAGCTCCTGTGGAGAGAGTGGCTCCCGCCGAGACGAAGCACCCGGATAACCTCCAGGCACAGTACCACCAGACGCGACACGAGCAGGCCCAACTCCCTCAGGCTCCGCACCCCCAGGCGTAGCACCCCCATGCTCAGCACCCCCAATCGTAGCACCCCCAGGCTCAGTACCCCCAGTCGTAGCACCCCCAGGCGCAGCACCCCCAGGCCTAGCACCCCCATGAGTAGCACCCTCAGGCTCAGCAACCCCAGGCGCAGTACCGACACGCTCAGCACCCCCAGAGTCAGCACCCCCAGGCTCAGCACCCTCAGCAGCACCAGAGTCACCAGCAACCTCTACAGGCTCGAGTGCGTCTACCTGGGACACACCTGAAGGGGCAGGACCCTGAGGGGGGAGGGGGTCTACCGGGGGGGGACCTGGCACAAGGAAGAGCGGTGGCGGGGGAACGGACGGAGTGCGGTAGGGGAAGAGGCGGTAGTAGGGGACTGACTCGTCAAACGTGACATCCTGGGAGGACAGAACACGGCGAGAGGTGGGGTGGTAGAACTGCCACCCTGGCGCGTCAGAGGGGAAACCCAGGAAGACGCAAGGAGCAGCACGAGGGGACAGCTTGTCCGCAGACAAGTCGCGGACAAACGCCCGAGATCCCCAGACCCGGAACGCTGACGCATCGCCAACCTTCCCCGTCCAAAGCAGGGCTGGGGAGGTCTCTGGCATGGAGACCCTGGGCTGAAGGTTGATCTGATGCGCCGCGTACCGAACTGCAAATGGACACAAAAAATGGGGGGCAGCCGCATGCATCATGGACGTACGAGCGACGTCCATGACCATGCCAATGCGGCGCTCAGCAATCCCATTTTGCTGTGGAGAGTCCGGAAGCGTGAAGGTCTGGCGGATGCCTCGTGCACGACAGTAGGCTCGCAGAAGGCCAGAGGAGAACTCTCCGCCTCTGTCAGAGTGCAGACGCAGAACAGGAAAGTCCGAGCCAAAGCTCTGCCTGAGCTGGAGACGAGCTGCGCGGATCCATTCGATCAACACCTCACTGACATCACCCTTGCTGCGCAAGGGGAAGACTGTGGTGTAACGCGAGTAGTCGTCAACCACCAGCAGGAAGTAGCGATCGTGACCCTGTCCACGGACGCGGGCTGGGCCCCACACGTCCATGTGAAGCGTCTGCAGCGGGGACTCTGTCGGAGGAAACTGGGAGGAGTGAGGGGCAG